ACCCTGCCTTGCAAGTTTCGATTTGTGTGTGTGTGTGTGTGTGTATGTATATGTGTGTGTGTAGATTGAGCTTTTTATTGGAGATTAAACTTTTTAAAAAAATATTACTTTATGTGTGTGAGTGTATTGCCTGCATGCATGGAAGTTCACCAGTGTCATGTAATTCATCCTCTAGAACAAGAGTTACTGATGGTTGTTAGCTGCCATGTGGATGCTGGGAACTGAACCTGGGTCCTCTGGAAAAGCAGCCAGTGCTCTAAACTGCTGAGCCATCTCTCCAGTTTCTAAGCTTTTGTTTTGTGTGGATTGGGCAAAAAAAATTTTTTTTGGTGGAGATTGTGCTTGATGAGAGAGAGAGAGAGAGAGAGAGAGAGACAGAGAGAGACAGAGACAGAGAGAGAGAATGAGAATGTGTGTGGAGATTGAACTTTGACTTTTTTGGGGGAGATTGAATTTCTTTTTTTTTTTTTTGAGACAGGGGTTCACTATGTAGCTCTGACAGGCCTGGAATTTGCTGTGTAGATCAGGCTGGCCCCAAACTCACAGAGATCCACCTGCCTCTGTCTCCCCAGTGCTGAGCTTAGTCACTATGTCTACTGAGACTGAACTTTGAAACATAAATTTTTTGTTGTTGTTGTTGTTTGGTCTTTTTGAGACAGGGTCTCCCGGTAGCCACAGCTGGTCTGGAACTTGCTATGTAGATCAGGCTGGACTTGACCTCACAGAAATCTGCCCACCTCTGCCTCTCAAGTGCTAGGATTAAAGGTGTGAGCTACCACGACCAGCTTTTGTTTGACACAGTATCTCACTCTGTAGCTCTGGCTGGCCTCGAACTCACAGTCATCCACCTGCCTGAGTGCTGGGATTAAAGACTTTACCACCTAGGCCACCAGACCTGACCTTTTCTTTTCAGATTTAATTTATAGTTTATGTGTGTCTGTGTGCACACATGCGTAAAAGTACCCAAAGAGGCCAAGAAGAGTGTGTTATATCCCTGGAGCTGAAGTTATAGGTGGCTGTGAGGCCCCTGATGTTGGTGCTGGGAACCAAACTTGGGTCCTCTGGAGGAGCAGCAAGTACTCCTAGTCACAGAGCCATCTCTCCAGTCCCAGAAAAATTCTTTAAAAGATTGTGCCAGATGTGGTGGTATATTGTAATCCCAGTATTGGGGAGGCTGAGGCAGGAGGATCAGGAGTTCAAGGTCATCCTCAGCTACAGAGTGAATTTGAGGTCAGCCTGGGCTACATGAGACCCATCTCAAAAACCAAAACCTTGGGGCTGGAGAATGGGTCAGTGGATAAGAGTGCATATTGTTCTTGCAGAGGACCTGGGTTCAGCTCCTGGCCCACAAGGTGGGTCACAGCCACCTCTAACTCCATTTCCAGCTGGGGATAAAGGCATGGGCTACCCTGCCTGGCTAATTCTGTATTTATTTAATTATTTATTTATTATTTATTTATTTATTTATTATTTTTGGTCTTTTTAGGACAGGGTCTCCCTGTAGCCTCAGCTGGCCTGGAACTCACTATGTAGACCAGGCTGGCCTCAAACTCACAGAGATCCACCTGCCTCTGTCTCCCTAGTGCTGGGATTAAAGGCGTGTGCCACCACACTCGGCTCCAGTGATACTTTATCTCAATTTTATTTTTACATTTATTTGTTTGTGTGTGTTAAGGTCAGAGGACAAGTTTTGGAAGTCTGTTCTCTCCTTCCATCATGTGTTTTGTGGGGTTCAGGTTAGGCTTGGCAGCAAGCACCTTTATCCACTGACCCATTTTGCCATCCCATTATCTCAATTTACTTAAAAAAATTATTCTTGGGCTAGAGAGAGGGTTCAGTGGTTAAAAACACTGGCTGTTCTGGCAGAAGAGCCAGGTTTAAATCCCAGCACCCACATGGCAGTTAGCAACTGTCCGTAGCTCCAGTTCCAGGGGATCTGATGGTCTCTTCTGTCTTCCACAGGCATTGCACTTCACAGGTGCACCTACATACATGCAGGCAATACATGCATACATATAAAATAAAAATAATAAAAAAATTATTTTATGTCTATGAATGTTTGGCCTGCATTTAAGTGTACCTGTCTCCTGTAGTACCCATAGAGATCAGAAGAAAGCATCGGATCCCTGGAAGTGGGGTTTGTTTTTTAGACAGGGTCTCCCTGTAGCCCAAGCTAGCCTTGAACTCAATGTGTAGACCAGGCTGGCCTCTAATTTACAGAGATTCGCCTGCCTCTGCCTCCCTACTGCTGAGATTAAAGGTGTGGGCCACTGTCAGCAGCCATGTGGGTCCTGGGAACTGAACCTGGGTCCTCTGGGAGAGTAGCTGGTGCTTTTATCCACCAAGCTGTCTTTCTAGTCCCTCAATTTACTTAAAAAAGGTCAGAGGAAAACTTGTGAGTTGGTTCTCTTCTACCACGTGGGTTACCAGGGATCAAACTCAGGTTGTCATGCCTGGTGGCAAGCACCTTTACTCGCTAAGCCATCTTGCTGGCCCCTTATCTCAATTTTCTATTCCAATCCAGCTGCCATCCCCTAACCTGTGTCTCATCCCTTAGAATTGCTCCTTTTAAATTTTTATTTATTTATGCTTATTTTTAAATTTTATTATTTATTATAGTGTGTATATTTGTGATGTGTGTGGGGTCTGTGTGTGCCATGGCACATGTATGGAGGTCAGAGGACAACTTTTGTGAAGTTGTTTCTCTCCTCCCACCATATGAATTCTAGGGATGGAACTCAGGTTGCCAGTTTTGTATGTTAAGTGCCTTTACCAATGATCTTTACCTGCTGAGCCAACCTTTGAACCCCCTTTATATATATTTGTTTTTTATATTATTATTATTATTATTATTATTTTTGAAATAGGGTCTCCCTGTAGCCCCAGCTCACCTGGAACTCACTATGTAGACCAGGCTGGCCTTGAACTCACAGAGATATGCCTGCCTCTGCCTCCCAAGTGCTGGGATTAAAGGCGTGCGCCACCAAGCCCAGCATATTTTATTTTTATTATATGAGTGCATTGCCTGCATGTGTGTAAGTGCACCCATGTCGTACAATGTCTGTGGAGGTCAGAAGAGGGCATCGGATCCCCTGGTACTGGAGTTACAGATGACTGTTAGCTGCCATGTGGGTGCTAGGGATTGAACCTGGGTCCAATGCAAGACCAGCCAGTGCTCTTAACCACTGAGCCATCTCTCCAGCCCCAGAACCCCCTTATTTATTTATTTATTTATTTAGGCTTTTTTTTGAGACAGGGTCTCCCTGTTGCCCCAGCTAGCCTGGAACTCACTATGTAGACCAGGCTGGCCTTGAACTCACAGAGATCCACCTGCATCTGCCTCCCGAGTGCTGGAATTAAAAGCATGCACCACCATGCCCTTACTTATTTATTTATTTTAAAAGTTTATTTTATTTTCAATTATATATCTGTGTATGGGTATGCAGATGTGAGTGTAGGTGCCCTTGGAGGCTAGAGGTGTGGCATCCCTTTGGCACTGGAATTACAGGTGGCTGTAAGCCACTGTTGTCAGTTCTGGGAAATTGACTCCGGTCCTCTCCAAGAGCAGTATGCCCTCTTAAATGCTGAGCCATCTCTCTAGCCCCATATTTATTTGTTTTTAATTTTGAGACAGGGTCTGGATATGTAGCTCTGATTGACTTGGGACTTGCTGGGTAGACCCAGCTAATCTCGAACTTGTCTGCCTCTGAGTCTGGAGTGCTGAGATTACAGATGTGAGTCAGACCTAGCTTTCCTTTGAAATCTGTATCTCCAGCATCACCCCCTCTGTTGACAATCACCTGTGCTTTTGCTGTCCTCAGGCCCTTCTCTTTCCTGTTTCCTCACCTGTGGGCTGGTTTTAGTCTGTCCTCTAGGACCTGTGGCTCATTACTACATTTGCATTCTTCCTGGAGTACTCTCTTGTCCTTTAGGATCCCACCAGTTATATCTGTATTTAGATATTTATTTATGTATTTATTTTTTTAAGTTTATTATTAGTTTAATAATTTTAAAATTATTATTATTATTATTATTATTATTATTATTATTATTTTGGTCTTTTAGAGACAGAGTCTCCCTGTAGCCCCAGCTGGCCTGGAATTTGCTATGTAGACTAGGCTGGCCATTTTTTTAAGTTTATTATTAGTTTAATAATTTTAAAATTATTATTATTATTATTATTATTATTATTATTATTATTTTGGTCTTTTAAAGACAGGATCTCCCTGTGGCTCTAGCTGGCCTAGAACTCTCTATGTAGACCAGGCTAATCTTGATCTCACAGAAATCCGCCTGCCTCTGCCTCCTGAGTGCTGGGATTAAAGGTGAGTACTACCATGCCCAGCTTATCTTTATTTTTTTTATGTGTGTGAGTTTATTGTCTGCACTTGTATAAGTGTACCTGTGTTGAGCAGTGCCGGTGGAGGTCAGAAGAGGGTGTTGGATCCCCTGGAACTGGAGTTACAGACAGTTGCTAGCCACCATGTAGGTGCTGGGAATGGAACTCAGGTCCTCTGTAAGAGCGAGTGCTTTTAACCACTGAGTGAGCTCTCCAGCCCTCTTATGTATTTAATGGTGTGTGCCATGACACAGAGCTGTATTTACATATTTATATATTATACCTGGACATCAGTACAAAATTTGGCTTCTAAACTCCACTAGGTCTTCAATGATACTTGTCTACCTTGTGATTCTAATGGTTTATCCTGGTTATTAAAATATTTCATGCTGCCAGGTCAGGCGTGGTGGCAAATGCCTCATTTATCCCAGTATGGGAAGCAGAGGCCAACCTGGTCTACATAGTGAGTTCCAGGCTAGCTAGGGCTACAGAGTGAGACCCTGTCTCAAACAATGCGCCCCCCTCCCCCGCAAATTCCAGGCTCACTTGGGGAGGCAAGGGCAGAAGGATGGATGTGAAGTTTGAGACCAGTCTGTATCTACATAGAGTTCCAGGTTTAGCAGGGCTACAGAATGAGTCTTTTTGTCTTTCTGTCTCTAAGGTCTCTTGTTATCCCAGGCTGGCCTGGAGTTTACTGTGCACCCAAAGAGAACCTTGAACTAACGATCCTTTTTACCTCCACCTACCACTGCTGGGATTACAAATGTGTGCCACCGTCGCCTGTTTCTGTGGATCCAATCCGTGGCCTCGTGCATTGTAAGCAAACATCCTACAAAGTGAGTTAGACCCCCTTTCCCATCTCAAAAAACAAACACAAACAACTCCCAAGGGAACAGCAAAAACCTAAGAAAGACAAACTTCAGGACTTCCCTAAAATTTGAACTCACCTCAGACCTTCTGGTCTAGTTAGATCCTTTCTTCAGTCTTGGCCTCCTTTCCTCGAATGTCCTTCCTAACACCAGCCATCCTTTAAGCACTCCCCTGAGTCCCGGGGTGGAAGCCTTTCTTTCTCCCTCCTGCCTCACCGCTGCTTCCCTAGGGTACCTAACACTGTTCACTGCTCCCCTAATAGACTTGTAGATGCCCTGAGCTCTCAGACAGGAATTCTGTTTTGTTTCTCCTCTTCTGGGCTCCGGGAGCTTCACAGTGGGGAATGCTGAGTGAAGTCGGGAGCATCCGAGAGCTCGGCCTGCAGGGGTCTGAGCTTTGGAGGGAACACTGGGCGATCAGTGTCAGGGCCGGGGCAGCCACGAGCGCAGGAGGGAGGGAGGGAGGGAGGGAGGGAGGGACGGAGGGAGGGGCAGGCCCGGTTGAGCGTGGCCTGGGGCCAAGGGCGTCTGCAGAGGAGGGTGATGGGAGCCGCCTGTGGCGAAGAAAACACTTTTTAGGCGTTGTTTTGGAGCATCGCAGGAACCCAGGGCTGCAAACCCCCAAGTTCAGGGCCAGCGTGAGTCAGCGGGGCAGGCAGTAAGATGGGGAGGGGGAGGTGGCCGAGAAGGGCTCGGGAACCCCTAGGTGCGGGCGGCGGGAAGGAGGGGGTGGCGACTAGGGAGCGCCCCGCAGTTGGTTCCCCGCTCCCAGGGACAGGTGACATCGAGTGGAGCTGGGTGGAGCCTGCATGAACCACCCTTCTCGGAGTCCTCACCCTTAACGCAGGTAACTCCCCTGCTGGGCCTCCCCTAGACCCCTCAGACCTCGGTGCCAGGGCCCCATTGTGTCCCCTGGGGCTATCTCCTGTCGGGACCACACTTGTGCCTGGGCGCCTTTGTCCCCTCCCATGGCGTCTTCACGGCCAGGCAGGCGCCTCTGGCATATCCCGCTCTCGAACCTCGGTGATCCAGCGGGCCTTGGGGACTGGGGGGTGCCCACTCGTGCCCAGTGTCGTCGGAGCCTGACCCCTGGTGGCGGCCGTTGGTCCGGGGTTCGGCTCGTGCATTCCCGGGGACAATTCTCCTTGCACACTTTCGTGCCCCCAAACCTCACTTCTCCCGGTCCTCGAGAGCTCCGAGATGGCGTTGGCGGAAGTGAAGCCACGCGTGGGAATCGGGTGAGGCAGACACTGGTAACTCCTTTTCGATCCCTTCCGGCACCAGTGTGCAGGTTAAACAACAACCCACTCCCAGTGTGCAGGTTAAACAACAACCCACTCTATTAGCTGTCCCCTGGGCAGTACTGCAAGCTAAATAGCCTGGGGGAGGTGGTCAGCGTTTGCTAAGCCATTGAATGTGTACTTTCCACTGCATATCACTGGGGTTTGGCTAGACTTTGAGAGTTTCCAGCGACCCAGAAAGGTCACTGGTGCCAATTTTCTAGTCAGTCACCCACCCTACCTCTGTTTTCCTTATCATCTTGGCTTTGTTTTGTCTGTTCTCCAAAGTCATAGGACCGGCTTATCGAGTAAGTACATTTGTGCTTGATTCACATAACTTTGAAAATGACCATGATTGGAAAGATGATTTACCTTGCTCTAGGCAAGTTCGAATTGAGATGTGCTTTCCCAAGGCATAGTACAAAGCTGGTAACATCTAGCTCACAATAAATTCTTTTTGAGACAGGGTCTTTAGCCCCAGCTGGCCTAGAACTCACTGTGTAGATCAGGCTGGACTCGATCTCAAAAATCCGCCTGCCTCTGACTCCCGATGCTGGGATGAAAGGCGAGCACTACCATGCCTGGCTACAATGTAAATTCTTGCATCCATTACAATAAATTTTTTTTCTTTTTGCTTTAAGACACTGTCTTCCATAGTCCCAGCTAGCCTCAAACACTTAATCCTCCTGCCTCCACCTCTCATGTGCTGGGATTACAGGCCCACACTGCCTCTCTCAGCCATTGATTACAATTTTGAACACATTGAATTAAATATTTTAAGATCTGTCGATGGTGACTCCCAGCACTCCCATTCAGGACTTTGAGGCAGGAGGATAGTGAGGTGGAGGCTAGCCTGGACTACAGAGTAAGGACTAGTCCCATTTCAAAAATTTAACAACAGCAACAAATATATTGTCTGGGGATGTAGCTGAGGCAGAGTGCTTGCCTAGCCTAGCCCTGGGCTACTTCCCTAGCACTGCATGAATCGGGAGTGGTGGTAATCCTCAGCTACATATTGAGTTCAAGGCCAGCCTATGCTATATGAGATCCTGTCTCAAGAAAACCAGATATTTTTTGATGTAATCTCTTTGTTTTTACTGCTTTGCTTGATTTTTAAAAAAAATTTATTTTATGTATATGAGTGCCTGCATGTAAGTGCACCCATGTCGTGCAGTGCCCATGGAGGACAGAAGAGGGTGTCAGATCCCCTGAAACTAGAATTATGGATTGTTGTTAGCTGCCATGTGGGTGCTGGGATTCAAACCTGGGTCTTCTTAACTGCTGAGCCCTCTCGCCATCTCTCCAGCACCTTGCTTGATTTTTTTTTTTTTTTTTTTTGAGACAGAGTCTCTCTGTAGCCACAGCTGATCTGGATTCTCTGTAGAGGCCCGGCTGGCCTTGAACTCACAGAGATCCACCTACCTCTGCCTTCCGAGTCCTGGGATTACAGGTGTGCGCCACCGCGCTGGGCTTCTTGCTTGAATTTTTAATTAAGACCGTTATTACATTTAGGGGGTGTGTGTGTGTACATGTCTAGATGTGCACCAGGGTGAACATGTGGAAGTTAGAGGACAGCTCTCAGGACTCTTGGTTTTCTCCTTCCATCATGTAGGTCTCCTGGAGCAAACCCAGGTGGTATCTTTTCCAGCTGTGCTATCTCATCTGTCAACCCAAAGGTGTATGTAGTAAGCCCAGGTTGGCCTTGAGTTTGTAATCCTGCTGCCTTCAGTATATCCTACTGATGGTGTGTGCCACCACAACCTGCTTGTTTTTAAATATATACTTTTGTTTTGAGCCAAAGTTTCATGTAGCCCAGATTGGGCTTAAACTCACTGTGTTAGAGAATGATCTTGAAGGCCTGAGCCTCCTGCTTCTGCCCCCCTCAGTGTAGAAAGTACAGGCTTGGGAAACCATGCCTGGTTTTTCTTTTTTAAATATGGCTACCAGAAAATTTAAAATTGCCTACCTGGCTTGTGTACTGTTTCTGTTAGATAGCACTGTTTACACTGTTCAATTTTATAAACCCTTGGATCTGCTCAGTGCATATAAATAAATGAAAAATTTCAGTTTTTGAATTGAAGGAAGTGATGTAATACAGCCTGCCTTTTCCTACAGTCTTTTGTTTGGTTGGTTTTATTTAAAATTAAAAAAAAATTTTCTTATGTGTTCTTGTGTGTCTCAGTGAGTGTATGTACACCTGTGTGCCAGGTGCCCATGTAAGCTGCCTGAGAGGGTTCTGAACTCGGACCCCCTGCAAGAGCAGCAAGTGCTCTTAACCTCTGAGTCATCTCTCCACCTCTGCTATAGCCTTTTGTAATTTATTTATTTTCCTTCCTTTTTTTTCAAACTTACTTGCTTAGAAACAGTAGAAAGAATTATGGGCTGGGGATGTAGCTGAGTAGGTAGAATGCCTGCCTGGAGTGCATGAAGCCCTGGGCATAAATCTGGTCATAAACCAGGTGTGAGGCTGGGGAGATGGCTCAGCTAGCAAAAGTGCTTCCAAAGCAAGCCTTAAAGCATGAATTCCATTCCTGGAATAGATCCCTGGAACTCATATCAAAAAGCCAGATGCAGCTGGGGCTGTAGCTGAGTTGAAGAGTATTTACTTGTGAGGGCCTTATTTTGATCTCCAGTACTACCAAAAAAAAAAAAAATCTGCAAAACTAAAGCTATTGTAATTTCCTTTGCTGGGTGTGGTGCTGCACATCCAGAGCTGTCCTCAAGCGCCCTTAATCCCTAATTTCAGGAAGCAGAGGCAGGCGGATCTCACAGTTTCTGGCCAGCCAGGCTATGCAGTGAGACCTTGTCTCAAAAGAATACAGCAACAACAACAACAACAACCACCACCCAAATAAAAGCAAGCCTGCTGCTTTTGCACTAATCTGTAGCCCCTATGATCCTCAGGCAGGACCAGAGGCAGAGATCAGAGTCTCCCTGAAGCCTCCAGGCCAGCTAGTACACAGACCCTGCCTCTAAACCAGGTGGAAGGAGGGGACAACGGCTGAGAGCTGTCCTCTGACCTCCACCAGTACACACATCATACACACACAGTAATAAGAAAAAAACAGATGGACAACTCCCCCTCAAACAAAAACAAGAAAACTGAACTTGGTGTATGGTGATGCACACCTGGAGGAGGTGAGGCCTGGTCTCAAAAAATGAAAAAGGAAAGAATTTGGTGTCTCTGCTAATAATAAGCTGCATTTTTTCAAAAAGGACTTTTGGAGCTAGGGAGATAGCTTAGTTGGTGCTTGCTTTGAAAGCATAAGGATGTGAATTTGATCTTCAGAACCCTTGTAAAAAAGCTGAGCATGACACATGCTGTGATCCCAGTGCTGGGGAGCTGGAGACAGGCAGTTCCTTGGGGCTGCCTTGCCAGCCAGCCTAGACCCCACAGACAGGAACACATACATAAAAAAGTGGGATTTGGTGTTTTTGAATATATAGAATATATAGAGTTTGTTTAAAACTCAGTTGCCTAAATAGAAGTTAGCATGGTGGTTGTTTCTGAGTAATTTAGTTTCTGAACAATTAAGATTTTCCTATTAACTTGAAAAAATATGTTCAATTTTATAATGTGCATTTTTATATAACAAGTTTTTGTTTGTTTTTGAGATGGTCTCACTATGTAGTCTTGGCTGGCCTGGAACTCTATATAGACCAGGCTGACCTCGAACTTACAGATCTATGATCTGCCTGCCTCTGCTTCCTGAGTGTTGAGATTAAAAGTGTATGCCACCACGCCTGGCTTACTCTTTTTTTTTTTTTTTTTTTTTGTTTAAAAAAGATATTCTCATAGCTCATGCTGGCCTTGATCTCCTAATCCTTCTGCCTCAATCTCCTAAGTGCTGAGATTATGGGTGTGCACCTTGCCCAGCTGAGAGATCATTTCTCTTTATGGGCAAATGATATCCCAAGGGATTGTTATTTTTATTCCACTTGGCAGATAGTGAAACAGGTTCAGAAAGTGTCAAATGCCTTCTCTAGTGACAGTTTGCACATTTCCAAAATGTTCCCATGCCTCCAAATCTCAGGGTAATGTGCTTCATCATGACACAGCTGGGCACAGAAAGTCAAGGCAACAAAACCAGCTACTTTGCCTATAGGAGGAAGCCTTAGCTACTGTCTAGTGGCAGGAATTAAAAGCCACAAAGTCAAGAGAGAGTAGTGGGGGGCAAAAAAGAACAAAGTGTAATCGTGTATGGGAATGAAAATGTCACAAGGAAACCCATTACTTTTTTGTGCTAACTGAAAAAAATATTAAAGAAAAGGGGGAAAAAGCCTACAAGATAACACTTCTTGCTAGTCCTCCTACCTCAGCCTCTTGAGTGCTCTTCTCTCTTCTCTTTTTTCTCCTTCCTTCGTTCTTTCCTTTCTTCCTTCCTTTTTTTTTTTTGTTTTGAGACAGAGTCTCTATAGCACAGGCTGGCTTCAAACTTGGGACAGTCCTGCCTCAGCCTCCTAAGTGCTGAGATAATAGGCATTTTTTTTTTCAACTCTGACTCTTAATTTCATTGTTTCTTAGATTACATCTGGGTCTCGGCAACCATCCGTTCATTTGCCAATGAAGTATATCCTGGTTACTGGTGGAGTCATCTCGGGCATTGGTAAAGGGATCATCGCTAGTAGCATTGGAACGATTCTCAAATCATGTGGACTCCGAGTTACTGCCATCAAAATCGACCCCTATATTAATATCGACGCTGGGACTTTCTCACCATATGAACATGGTATGAAAATACCAGTATCATTTCTTTTAAAGTGTTAGACAAATTTGTAGTTCTGTCTGTGTGTGGTTTTTTTGGTTCTTTATAAAATTTTTTTTAAATTTTAAACTATTTTATTATTTTTATGTGTATGAGTGTATTGCCTGCGTGTGTAAGTGCACCTGTGTAGTACAATGCCTATGGAGGTCAGAAAAATGTACCAGATCTCCTGGAACTGGAGTTACAGACAGCTGTTAGTCGACATGTGGGTGCTGGGAACTGAACCCGAGTTCTCTGCAAAACAGTCAGCACTCTTAACCGCTGACCCATCTCTCCAGCTGTTTTTTTTTTTTTTTTTTTATTTTTTTTTTTTTTCGGTCTTTTTGAGACAAGGGTCAGTATGCAGCCCTGGCTGGCCTGGAATTTACTATGTAGACTAGGCTGGCTTTGATCTTATGTGGCTCTGCCTGCCTCAGCTTCCTGAGTGCTGGGATCAAAGGCGTGTGCCACCATGCCCAGCTGTTTTCTTTTTGAGGCTGGGTCTCAGATCAGCCCAGATTGACCTGGAACTCACTATTTAGCTAATGCTGGCCTCAAATTCACAACAGTTTGCCTGACTTACCCCTCAAGTGCTGGATTTTAGGTGTGAGTCACCAGACCAGGGTTAATCTCATTTTTTAAGCTTAGAAGGCTGTGGACATACTGAGGATGATCTTGAACTTCTACCTCCAGCCCACATAATAGAATCTTTTTTTTTTTTTTTGGTCTTTTTGAGACAGGGTCTCCCTGTAGCCTCAGCTGGACTGGAATTCTCTATGTAGACCAGGCTAGCCTTGAACTCACAAAGATCCACCTGCCTCTGCCTCCTGAGTGCTGGGACTAAAGGCGTGAGCCACCATGCCCGGCCTAGAATTTGATTTTGTTTGTGAATAACTTAATGTCTGTGGTATATTGCATTTTTTTCAAGATTTATTTTATTTTTTAATTATGTGTGTCTGTGGGTGGGTATGTGCACCCAGTTGCATGTATCTGCAGAGTCTAGAAGAGGGCATTGGATTCTCTGGAGCTGGGATTACAGGCAATTGTGAGCTGCCTGGCTGTGGGTGCTGGGAACCAAACTTCGGTCCTCTGCAAGAGCAGTATGTACTTTTTTTTTTTTTTTTTTAAGCTAGCATCTCCCTGTGGCCCCAGCTGCCCTGTATAGACCAGGATGGCCTTGAGCTCACAGAAATCTGCGTGCCTCTGCCTCTGCCTCCTAAGTCCTAAAGGCACGCACCACCATGCCTGGCTCAGTATGTACTGGTAACTGCTAAGCCATATTCCAGCCCAAGATTACATTTTGTTTGTGAAAATCATGCTATATAGTCTGTGAAGTAAATTTCTCTGTTCCTTGATATTGGACTTGGGCCACTTTGACCACTACCATTTTGTTTGGAAGATTCTGGGTTTTATTTCTTCTGAAGTACGGAGGATTGAGCCTAGGGTCTCGTGAAAGCTAGGCACGCCCTCTACCACTGAGCTACATCCCTAACCCTATTTTTTACTTTTTATTTTGATATGTGGTTTCAAAATTGCCCAGGCAGGCCTTTAACCTGTAATCCTCCTGTGTCAGCTTCTCAAGTACTGGGATTAGGACTGTGAGCTACCACATGTGACTGAAAAATAGTCTGTTGGAAGTAAGTTTTTAATTTCTGCATTGCCTTTTTACCCTAGGTGAAGTGTTTGTTTTAAATGATGGTGGAGAAGTTGATTTGGATCTTGGAAATTATGAAAGGTTTTTGGATATTAATCTTTATAAAGACAACAATATCACCACTGGGAAGATCTATCAGCATGTGATCAATAAAGAGAGGCATGGTGATTACCTGGGGAAAACCGTTCAAGGTATTTCACTCTACAGCTATTATGGAGCCCTGTGTGCTGAGTATGACTCAGGAAAAAAAATTTATATGTATGCGTGTATTGCCTGCATGTAGGTAAGTGCTGGAGAGATGGCTCAGTGGTTAAGAACACTGGTTGTTCTTGCAGAAGACCCGAGAAACTATATATTTAACAGAAGGGAAAATGCTGTGGGCCCTGAAATCTCTGTTTTCTTTTCTTTTTCACTTTTCTCAGAAATGTGAAGATTGTTGCCATACTAATGTTCCTAAATATACTTTCATCAGTATTGTTTTTACTGTTGTTTTACACACACACACACGTGCACACACACACACACACACACACACACACACGAGTTTGCTTTTTTGAGACAGAGTCTCATACTGTAGCATGGGCTGGCCTAGAACTTACTTTGTAGTCCAGGCTTGCTTCAGACTCATGGTAATCATCTTGCCTCAGTCTTCTGAGTGCTGGCTCACTCCTGGTCTTGTTATTGTTTGTTTGTGTATTATTTATTCTTTCATTTATTGTGTCTGTCTGTCTGTCTGTCTGTCTGTATGTATGTGATCCATAGGTCAGAGAACAACTTTTAGGTGTTGATTCTCTTCCATCTTGTGGGATCTGGGGATTGAACTCAGGTTGTCCGGCTTGATAGCAATCACCCTTACCTGCTGAGCCATCTCATCAGGCATTGTAACTGTTTTAAACCATTAAGAGTTGTGCTGTGTGTACACCTGGAATCCCAGTGGTAGAGACAGGAAGGATTAGATGTTCAAAGTCATTTTCACCTGCATAGCAAGTTTTAGGCCATCCTGAGCTATATGAGACCCTGTCTCAAAAACAAAACAAAGCAAAACAAAAACCCACTGTTAAGTTTATGGTACTTTGGGCAGGACATGGTGCAGGAGGATGCAGAATGATTGCCATCCATTCAGTGACAGCCTGGTATCAAGTTTCAGGCCAGCCATGACAACAGGAGACTTTTGGGGAAAAAAAGTTTATGGTAATTTATTACAGAAGCTTTAGGAAAACTAACACAATATCCAACTGCCAACTTGACATCTTCATTTAAATATTCAATAGACAGTTTAAACTTGGCTTGACCAAAATTGAATTGTTCTTCCTCCACAATACCTCTTCCTTCTACAGACTTGCTGTCTCAGTTACTGACAGCTTCTTTCTAATTGCTCGGGCTGAAAGCCTTGGAGTCAGGCTGGACTCTCTCTCTCTCTCTCTCTCTCTCTCTCTCTCTCTCTGGACTTACACACACACACACACACACACACACACACACACAGGCGAGTGTGGGTGGTTGTTATCTGTCTATCTTTTTCAACACACACACACACACACACACACACACAGGCCAGTGTGGATGGTTGTTAGCTGTCATTATCTTTCACCTGAATCACTGCAATGTTCACATTACAGATCTCCCTCTTTCAATACCACCCTCCCTACAGCCTGTTATCAACAAAGTAGAGTCAGCCTGTTAGAACATTCACTGGTGCTTTTTCTTTTTTTCTCTCCTTTTTGAAAAAATATTTATTTTTATTTAATGTGTATGAGCATATCGCCTGCATGTGTGTAAGTGCACCCATGTTTTGAAATGCCCACAGAGGTTAGAAGAGGGTGTTGGGTCCCCTGGAACTGGAGTTATAGGTGGTTGTTAGCAGCCATGTGGGTGATGGGAATCAAACCTGTGTCCTCTGCAAGAGCAGCCAGTGCTCTTAAGCATCTCTCCAGCCCCTCTCTTTTCTTCTTGAGATAGGATCTCACTATGTAGCCCTGGCTGGCCTCGATCACACAGAGATGTGCTTACTTCTGCTTCCTGAGTACTGGGATTAAAGATGTGTGCCACCATGTCTGGTGTTTGTTTTTTTTTTTCTTTTTTTTGACTTTTAGAGACAAGGTCTTCCTGTAGCCCCAGGTGGCCTGGAACTCGCTATGGAGACCAGGCTGGCCTCGATCTTACAGAGATTTGCCTGCCTCTGACTCCTGAGTGCTGGGACTACGTCTAGCCCTTTTTTTTTGTTTTGTTTTAAAATAATTATGTTATTTTTAGTTCTCTTTCTTTCTCTTACCTTTGTTTTTGAAAAATACATGAAGAGCCATTTATTCATCTTTTAGAGTATAGATTTTTTTTGTTCCCTCCCTCTCTCTTTCTCTCTTTCCCTTCCTTCCTTCATGACAACATCTCACTCTGTAGTCCAGGCTGCCCTTGAACTCACTGTGTAGCTTAGTCTGATCTTAAATTCATGGCAATCCTCCCATCTCAGCTTCCAGAATGCTAGGATTTCAGCTGTGAGCTACCACAGCCAGCTTACAGTTGTTCTTGGGATAGTTTTCACCCAAATTTGGTTTTTTTTTTTTTTTTGAGATAGCGTCTCCCTATCGCCCCAGCTGCCCTTGGTCTCACTGAGCTCCTCCTGCCTCTGCGTCCTGAGTGCTGGGATTAAAGGCATGTGCCACCACACCTGGCACGTATATATTAATTTAAATTTATTTTATTTATGTGTTGGTGTGAATGTATGCCGTGTGTGCACAGGTGCCCATGCCCTCAGAGGCTAGAAGAGGAAGTTGGATCCTTTCAACCTGGAGTCATAGGCAATTTTTCGAGCTGCCTTGTGGTTGCTGGGAACTAAACTCAGGAAGAGCAGGAGGCACTCACTCTTAATCACTAAGACATCTCTCCAGTCCCCCAAATGTGTTGCATTTATTTATTTATTTTAGGGTTTAGGGAGTGGTATATGTTCAGGTCAGAGGACAACTTTTGGGAATCTGTTCTGTCCTACCATGTGAGTGCTGGGGCTTGAACTCAAGTCATCAGGCTTGGCAACAAGTACCTTTACCCCCTGAGACATCTCGCTGGCCCTCAAATGTGTATCTTAGGTAGATCCAGGGGAGGGAGAGTTGCTACCACACACCTGCCACATCCCATCTATGGGGAGAGAACAAGCTCCCTGACTTGGGCACTAGCCCTTGACCCCTGACCACCCATGTTGAGGCAGAGCCCAGTAGAATCCACCCTCTCGTATAGGCCAGACAGGCATAGGAAATTCACCAACTGGATTCGACTTTGAGACCTCCCTTGAAGGAGCCACTGGGGTCAGGTGAAGCTCCATGTCCTTTCATCTTAGCTCCTGAAGCCAGAGTTTTGACTTCATTAAGTTTAGAGTTTGGTCTGTGTGTGAGCCTGTGGGTGTGTCACTGTTTTGTTCTCTCATCTGACACCAGCAGTTTTGGGTTGTCTTAGTGCTTAAGGGGCCCCCTAATTTCATGTACTCAAGTCATTAAGCCCCTCCAGTGACATGAACACCATGCCCCCATCCCTGCCAGGGCCCTGGTATGTGGACAGGCTTCATTTATGACCCTGCGTGGAAGTTTTTCCACTGGCTGCTCTTACAAGCAGGGGTCTTGGGCTTCCCTGTACAGTTGCTGGGTGTCCCTCCCTGTGGACTAGTGTGCAGCTTGCCCAGCAGTCCTCAGTGGAGTTCGTAGCTGGCATGGTAGGTGTCTTCCAGTTTCATCGGAGGCCACGCTTTACCTTTCTGGTTTTTGTTGCTTATTCTCTGTCCGGTCTGCTTCAAGAGCAAAGGCCCGCTGTGGGCATGACTGGTCTTAAATTCATCAGTCCACACTGGTTCCAGCAAGGGAGATGAAGGTATACAGTCTCCAGCCTGTCTAATTTGTCTGGTGCCTTTCGGGTCATTTGAGAGGTCTAAAGTGTTTCCTTCCTCATGAACATGACTAAGCTGCTATGTTATTTGTTCCTTCTTTCTGCAGTTGTCCCCCACATTACTGACGCTATCCAGGAATGGGTTCTGAATCAAGCCAAGGTGCCTGTGGACGATAATAAGCAGGAGCCCCAAATATGCATTATTGAGGCAAGCACAAACTTTTCTTCATAAAACCACTGTCCTGTGGGGTCTTGAAGCATCCAGTCTTCATTCACTCAACAAAGTAATGCACAGCTCACCTCCTCGGTGTTGTTCACTAGGCTGGGTGGTGGGGTTCCAGCAGGGAACAACAGAAATGGTCACAGGTTGGTGAAGATTGTTATTAAACAGAGAACCACCTGGGATGGGCATGCAGTTTTGAAATCAGTGTTGGAGCTGGAACCTGGAATGGAGAGTTGCTGTCCCGGAGGAGCTCATAGAAGTACTGTCCATACACAGCAGAGTGTGTATTTTGGGTTTATTTATTTTTTTATTTTGTGACTTGGTCTCCCTGTAGCCCCAGCTGGCCTGGAACTTGCTACGTAGACCAGGCTGACCTCCATCTCACAGATATCTGCCTGCCTCTGCCTCCTGAGTGCTGGGATTAAAGGTGTGCACTACCACACTTGGCCCTTGGTTTTGTTTTTATGACAGTCTCCCTGTAGCCCCAGCTGGCCTGGAACTGGCTATGTAGACCAGGCTGGCATTGATCTCACAGAAATCTGCCTGCCTCTGCTTCCTGAGTGCTGGGTTTAAAGGCGTGCACCACTCTGCCCTGCTAACAGAGTGTATTTTACTTATTTCAGACAGGGTCTTATGTAGCCCAAGCTGGCCTTGAACTTGCTATATAGTCAATGCAAACTTTGAACTTCTGGTCCTCCTGCCTCTACTTCCCAAGTGCTGGGATTACAGGCATGTGCCACCCCACTTGGTTTATGCTGTGCTTGGAATGGAGTTCAAGACTTTGTGCATGCTAGGCATATACTCTACAAACTATGCTACATGCCTAGCCCACAACAGTACATTTTAAATGCATAGCATTGCAGAAACATTTGGAAAGTGTTGTGAAAAGTAGAGAGAGATTGGGTTGGGAAAGTCAGATGGTAGAGGCGGTAAGTATCAGCCTTTTAAAAGGTATCAGCCTTTTAAAGAGAGCAGTATTTGAATTTGCCACTTGTTGACTGCCTTCTCTTTCTTTGCTTCCTCTCCATCTGCATACTGTAGTGTTCTATGCAAACTGTTCTCTGGCTAGGTGGTACTTCCTTCCTATTTTACACCAAGGAAAGAAGCAATACTTCCTTTTTTCTTTTCTTTTTTTTAAAAAATTTTGTGTATTAGTTACTTTTCTGATACTGTGATAAAACACCATAAGCAAGGTAATTTATAGAAGGAATAGTTTATTTGCACTTATGGTTCCCGAGGGATAAGAGGCCATCATGGCAAAGAGGCATGGCAGCAGAGGCTGCCTGAGTAGAAAGCTGACAGAGATCTGCCTGCCTCTGCCTCCCAAGTTCTGGTATTAAAGGCATGTGCCGCCACGCCCAGCTTGAACTCTTGCATTCTCTCTCTCTCTCTCTCTCTCTCTCTCTTGATTTAAGGCATGTGCCACCTCACTTGGCTTGAACTCTTACATCTTAAATCACTAGGAGGAAGCAGAAAGGGCAGGCTGGAAGTGAGAGGAGGCTATGAACCCACCAGCAGTGATGCTGCTTCCTCCAGCAAGACCCAAGGATTCCATTACTGTCCTCAAACAGTGCTACCATCTGGGGACCAGATACCAAGTGCTGAAATATTTGAGCTTGCGGGGCACATTTCTCATTCAAACCATCTGTGGTGGTGGTGGTGGTGGTGGTGGTGGTGGTGGTGGTGGTGGAGGGGGTGGTGGTGGTGGTGGAGGGGGTGGTGGTGGTGGTGGAGGGGGTGGTGGTGGTGGTGTGTGTGTGTGTGTGAGAGAGAGAGAGAGAGAGAGAGAGAGAGAGAGAGAGAGAGAGGTATGTACGTCAGAGGACAGCGTTGGGTGTTGGTCCTCACCTTCAATTTCATTTGAGACAGGGTCTCTGCTGTTTCTCTGCTCTGTAGACCAGGCTAGCTGGCCTTTGAGCTTCTGGCTATTGTTTTGTCTCTACTTCCCATCTTGCATTAGGGCTGTGCTAGGATTATAGATGCTTGCTCTACTTTGTCTAGCTTTCATGTGGGTCCTAGAGATCTGAACTCAGGTTGTCAGGTTTGCATACCAAGTACTTTACCCACTGAGCCATCCCCCTAGCCCCAGTATTTCCCATTTTTGAAACAGTCTTCTATAGCCCTGGACTCGAACTCTGCTATGTGGCCTAGGATGTTCTCGAATTTCTGATTCCTCTTTCTCTATCTCCTAAGTACTAGGATTACATGTGTATATCACCATGACCAGTTTGATTCAGGGGTGGGGATTGAACTCAGGGCTGGGCAAGCACTCTGCCAACTGGGCTACATTCTCAGTTCTCTTTCAAAGTTTTTTTTTTCTTTTTGTGAACCAATGAGTTTATTGGGCTTGCTTATAGAGTAAAGGTGAAGGATTACCTCCAGCAGTCTGGGAACCCCAAAGCAGGTCCGTTACTGAAAGTCCTACCCCATCACAGAAGCTCACTTCATGGCAGCTGCATCACAGAACCCCACTTTCTTCAGTTACCCTTACAATTCTTTTTTTGTCCCATACCATGCCAAACACTAATGTATTTTTCTTATGTACAATACCTATGATAAAGTTTTGTTTTTTTTTTTTTTGAGACAGGGTCTTCCTATAGCTCCAGCTGGCCTGGAACTCTGTGTAGCACAGACTGGCCTTGAACTCAAAGAAATCCACTTGCCTCTGGAGTACTGGGATTAAAGGCATTGGCACCAAGCCTGGGTGTTTTGGATGGTTTGGATTTTTTTTTTTTTGCCTTTTTGAGATAGGGTCTCCCTGTAGCCCCAGCTGTCCTGGAACTCACTATGTAGACCAGGCTGGCCTCGAATTCACAAAGATCTGCCTGCCACTGCCTCCCCTGTGCTGGAATTAAAGATGTGCGCCACGACACCCGGTGATTGATTTGGATTTTTAAAAATATTTTGTTTTATTTTTATTTTATGTGCATGAATGTTTTGCCTGCATGTATGTAAGTATACCACATATATGCCTGGTGCTTGCAGTGGCCAGAGAGGGTGGATCCCCTAGAACTAGAGTTAAGAATGTATTAGCTACCATGTGAATACTAGAAACCAAACACAGGTCTTCTGCAAGAGCAACCAGTGTTCTTAAATACTGAACCATCTCTCCAGTCCCAGTTTTCTTTAAATTTATTATTTTTAGTTTATGTTTGAGTATATTGACTGCATGTTTGTAAGTGCACCTGTGTTGTGCAATGCCGTGTGTTGGATCCTTGGAACTGGAGTTATAGATGGTTGTTAGCTGCCATGTAGGTCCTGGGAACCAAACCTGGTTCCTCTGCAAGAATAGCCAGTGTTCACTTAACCGCTCAGCCATCTTTCCAGCCCCTCTGATTTGGATTTTTGAGACAGGGCTTCACTCTGTTGCTTAGGCTAGCCTGGAGCTCACTGTATAGCCCAGGCTTGCCTATGACTCAGCAGTCCTTCTGCCTTAGCTTCCCAAGTGCTGGAATTATATTCCTGACCATATGATACATAAAATTAAATTTATAAATTGGGCACAATAAAAGATTAACAGCAAAATGCAACAATTATAACATTACATTGTAATAAAAGTTAATTAAAACTTATATATGTTATCTATTTTGGAGTTTTCCATTTAATGACTGCAAATTTATGGTAAGGGGACTATCTCAAGGATGATCCAGAGGCAGAGTAAATGGAACTTTGGAATGGGTTGAGATGTTGCGGTACCTTGACAGACCACATGAGGGCAGGAAAGGATAATGTTTAAATCCTGCTCACCTTTCCTTATTTTCTGTTGACAACCACAGTATCAAAAAGCATACGAGGACTTCATGCATTCTGTCATATATGTTAAGGCCTGTCAAATCAAGTTTGTGTCCTTCAGATGTCCCTCAGTCTGAGTTCATCCACTGGGGCCTGGTCAGCCTATCTAGCATTACACTCCCTTAAAGAAGATCAACTCTCCCTCACCCAGCAGTGACCAGCTGTCAGGAGTTTCTCGGCTAAGGTTGGGGCCTCTTGCCCATTTCCCCAGTTCTAGGAAAAAAAAACCCAAAAACAATCAAATTGAAGAATTCTATGACCAACTAATATAAACAGACTAAACTTTAAAAAGGGGATTATATAGAAATTCATAGTTAATTGAAAAAGAAAAAAAAAGCACAAGAGGAAGCCCCATTCGGTGGCTTGAAATCCCAGCACTCTGGAGGCTGAGGCAAGGGGACTGCTGAGTATTTGAGGCCAGCCTAGGCTACACACCGAGTTCCAGTCCAATCTGAGCTGTAGAGTCAGAACCTGTCTCAAACACAAATGAACCAAGAAAAGGAAATCACAAAAAATAAAAACAGAAGGGGGCTAGGCTTATAGCTCAGTAGTAGAGAACCTACTTACTGTATGTGAGACCCTGGATTACATCCCCAGCACCACAAAAACAACACCCCCCACCCCAGGATGTCCTGTTGACTTGTTTTGTTTCCTTTTCCTTCTTGTTTTTTTTTGTTGTTGTTTGTTTGTTTTTGTTTTTTGAGACAGGGCCTCCCTGTAACCCCAGCTGGCCTGGGACTCTCTATGTAGATTGGACTGGCTTCGATCTCACAGAGATCCTGCCTGCCTCTGCCTCCTGAGTGCTGGAACTAAAGGTGTGCACCATCATGCTCGGCCCTTTTTATTGTTTTAAAATGTACTGGCACCGGGTGTGGTGGCACATATCTTTAATCCCAGCTCTCGGGAGGCAGAGGCAGGTGGATCTCTGTGAGTTCAAGGCCAACCTGGTGTACATAAGTGTTTTAGGCCAGTTGGGACTACAAGGAGACCCCACCTCTAAATAAATAAATAAATAAATAAAGTGCTAAGCAACTGAAGAAGACATTCGGGGTGGACCTCTGGCTTTCATATATGTGTACATATACATGTGACACATACCACATACATACACACTTTTTTTTTTGTCTTTTTTGAGACAAGGTCTCCCTATAGCCTCAGCTGGCCTGGAACTCGTTATGTAGACCAGGCTGGCCTTGAACTCACAGAGATCCACTGCCTCTCCCACCCTTGTCCTGGGATTAAAGGCTCTGCCCCCTCTTCCCCCCCCTTTTGTTTTTGAGGCAGTGTTTCTCTGTGTATCCTAAACTGGCCTTGAATTTAGTAAGTAATCCATGTTGGCCTAGAACTTCCAGCAGTCTTCCTGCTTCAGCCTCCCGAGTGCTGACATTACAGCTGTGTTCCACTGTGCCCTGCTGTTGCTGTCTTTTTAAAAAATATTTTATTTATTATTTTTACTTTATGTGTATGAGTGTATTGCCTGCATGTGCACCCATGTCATGCAATGCACGGAGGACAGATGAGGGCCTTGGATCCCCTGGAACTGGAGTTTCGGGTGGTTGTTAACTGCTATGTGGGTGCTGGGAATCAAATCTGGGTCTTCTTCAAGAGCAGTCAGTGCTTTTAACTGTTGAGCCATCTCCTCAGCCCAGATATTTTTCTTAAGATTTTTGTTAAGTTCTGGTGTCTTTTAGTTAGTGGGCACTCATACCCTGCTAAGTTCCTGATTATATACATTTTTTTTTGCTCTGTGCATGTGTGTGTGTATGTGTGTGTGTGTGTTGTGATAGTTTCTCACATAGCCCAGGCTGGCCTCAAGTTTGCTATGTAGCTGAGATGACCTTGAACTCCTGGTCCTGTCTCTTCCGAAGTGTTGGGATTACATGGCAAGAGCCACCATACCTGGCTTTGCTTTTGTAGAAGTTCAAGGTCATCTTTGGCTACATAGTGAGCTCATTGCCAGCCTGGGCTACATAAAGACCCTGTTTAAAAAAAATTCTGAGTTCCTTAGAATTATGTATTTTTTTCTGCTATGTACCTTCAAAATTGTGGCGATCTTTTTGCCTCTGCCTCTCCAGGCATGTGCCTCACTTCTGGCTAGGAAGGTGTTTTCAGTTCTTCTCAGCACTTTACCTGTTGTTGAGTGTATAGTAGATGTTCAAATGCTGGAGAAGTCATTTTATTTTTTATTCTTATTTTATGTGTAGGAGTGTATTGCCTGCACGTAGGTAGGTGTACCCGTGTTGTGCAGTGCCCATGGAGATCAGAAGAGGGCGTTGGATCTCTTGGAACTGGAGTTAAGGATGGTTCATAGCCACCATGTGGGTGCTGGGAATCGAACCCGTGTCCTCTGCAAGAGCAGTCAGTGCTCTTAACCACTGAGCCATCTCTCCAGCTCCTGGAGAAGTCATTTTAAAGTCTGTGTGATCTCTTTGGGTATTTAATCTGAGCCCGAATGGGTTAAGGAGAATTTTATATTTGTCAAAAGTGAAATGCTTTAAGTAACCTTGTTGGAAACACATTGTTAAGTTGACATTTATTGAAGGATTACACTGCCAGGAACATTCATGGGGCTTTAGGTACTATTAGTTTCAGAAAGCCAGCGTGTTTTAATAATAGCCCTTTTCATTCTGGTAGTACCAACACTACAAGGAGACTGTTCAAACACATGTAGGCGTGTGTATGTTTGTATCTGTGTGGAGAAAGGGAGAAGGAGAGGGAGAGATTTCTTGAACATTCAGTATTTTAATCAATCTAGCAATTCAAGCAGAAACAGGTGACTGTCAGCCTTTTGTCACAGGATTTGAGTGAAGTTTTTTAGCTTTTTGTTCCAACTGGGACCATCGGTAGAAACTCGCTTATCTTTCTCCTCTGTGATCCATACTTTGGACCTTTTCTTTATTTCATTTAGTTACTTTCTTTTTTTCAAAAAATATTTTATTATTTTTTTTTAAATTTTGTGTGTATGAGTATATTGCCTATATGTCTGTAAGTACACCCATGTCGTGCAATGCCCGTGGAGGTCAGAAGAGGGCGTCTGACTCCCCTGGAACTGGAATTACAGACGGTTGTTAGCTGCCATGTGAGTGCTGGGAATCGAACCCAGGTCTTCTGGTAGAGCAGCCAGTGCTCTTAACCACTTAGCCATCTCTCCAGCTCCTCATTTATGTATTTTCAACTTTTTCTTTTTCCAAAACAGGGTCTTACCATGTAGCCCTGGCTGGCCTGGAATTTGTAGATCAGACTGACTTCAAGCTCATAGAGATCTGCCAGCCTCTGCCTCCTAAGTACTTGGGATTAAAGGTGTGCACACCATGCCTGGCTGAACATTTTCTCAAATATTTATTGTGTGTGTGTGTGTGTGTGTGTGTGTGTGTGTGTATGTGTGTGTGTGTATGGGGTGCATGGTATATGTTTGGAGGTCAGAGGAAAATTTGTGGGATTCAGTTCTCTCCTTCCACCATGTGGATCTCGGGGATTGGACTCGGGTTGTCAGACTTGACTGTAAGCACTTTTATTGGCAGAGCCATCTCACCTGTACTTAGATCTTTTTATCTGCTTATGAGTCAGTCTCTCTCTCTCTCTCTCTCTCTCTCTCTTTCTCTCTCTCCCTCCCTCCCCGTCTCCCTCTCTCTTTTTTGTTTTTGTTTTTTTTTTTATTCAGACCAACTCTCACTGTAGCACAAGCTTCCCTGGAACTCACTATTTAGCCCAGGAAGTCCTCAAACTTGAGAACTTGAGGCAATCCTTCTGCCTCAGCTTCTGCCACCTGGCTTCTTTTTTTTTTTTTTTTGAGACAAGATAAGATCTAGGTTTCCCAGGGAGTTGTGATGCTTCTGTGTCAGTGCTGAGGTTACAGGTGTGTCCTACCAGACCAGGCTTTTTTATGAATGGTTTTATTGAAGTTTAACTTAATATACAATTTCATTCATTTTAGGTATATAATGATTACAGACTTCTGTTATTGTGCAAATATTAAACTAGTTCTTAGACTCAGTCTATTAAATTTTTGTTTAAACCAGGTGTGGTGCCTCATGCTACATGCTTGAAGCCAGCCTGGGCTATATAGTAAGGTCCTGGACTACAGTGTGAGATTCTGCCTAAAAAAAAATTTTTTTTTAAGTAAAGAAAAATAAGATTTTTCTATTTATGTGCTGTGGGAGATGTTGGATCTTCTGTGTCTTATTTTTGTTTTCCATCCTCAGCTGGGAGGCACTATAGGCGACATCGAAGGAATGCCATTTGTGGAAGCATTCCGACAGTTCCAGTTTAAGGCAAAAAGAGAGAATTTCTATAATATTCATGTCAGCCTTGTCCCACAGGTAGGTTTTACAGATAAGTAAGTCGACAGTAACTTGGATCACTTTTTTTTCCCCACTGATGTTTTCATTTTAAGTTTTTATTACATTTTATTTGTGTGTGTGTGTGTGTATGTGTGTGTGTGCATATTTGCATGCCATGGTGTGTATATGGGATCAGAGGACAACTTGTGGAAGCTGGTTCTCTTCTATGTGGGTCCCAAGGATTGAATTCAGGCTTGGTGGAAGGGGTTTTTACCTACTGAGCCACCTCGTGCACCCTCCACCGATATTTTATGTGCCCCACATTCACAATTCAAGAGTCACACATTAGATATCCAGTTGTACCAATGATGACTCATTTCTTTTTAGCCCAGTGCTACCAGAGAACAAAAAACCAAGCCCACACAAAACAGTGTTCGTGCGCTTCGGGGGTTGGGCCTGTCTCCAGATCTGGTGAGTTAAGCACAGTGGGTAAGTTTGTCCCTAGGGTCTCTCAGAGTAGGACCTGCACATCACAGCTATAAAAGTCAATAGCAGGGCTGGAGAGATGGCTCAGTGGTTAAGAACACTGGTTGTTCTTGCAGAAGCCCCGGGTTCGAATCCCAGCACCCACATGGCAGCTAACAACTGTCCTTAACTCCAGTTCCAGGGGATCCAACAGCCTCTTCTGTCCTCCGTGGGCATTGCACAACATGGGTGCACTTACCTACACACAGGCAATACACACATACACATAAAATAAAAATAGTAAATAAAATATTTAAAACAAAGAAACCAAAAGTCAGTAGCGGGGTTTTTTGTTTGTTTTGGTTTTTGTCTCTTGATTTTGGTGCTGAGGATGGAACCCAGGGCCTTGCACTTGCTAAGCATGTGCTCTGCCTCTGAGGCACACCCCCAGCACCTTAAAATTTGACTAATCACCTGGGTCCTTGTAGCTCTCAAATAGTTCCTGTGGTAGTAAGCTTTTTATATCTGGCAGCCAGGAAGAGATTATGTCTTTAACCTTAAATTGGCCATCCATTCTTCTCTGGGCCCTCATTTGATTGGCTCCCCTGATAGTAGACCAAATTTGATGCCCTGTGATTCATAAGGTTCCTGGATCCTTCAGAGTGAAGGCGACACCTTGGGATTTTCCTGTGACCCTGTTTGGAGCTGCTACCCTTGCTTTGAGTTTTAGTCTAAAAGCAGTGTGATGTGTTCTTATAGCAGTTACAGCCAGCGGTCGGCAAATAAGGGTTCACAAAGCAGCTGCCTGGTTTGTTTTTGTTTTTGTTTTTTTATAGGCAGGGTCTCACTATGTAGCCCTGGCTGGCCTGTAAAGTCATCTGTTTTTGTAAATAAAGTTTTATTGACACACACTTATTTCTTACATATCTGTAACTGTTTTGGCACAGCTGAGTAGCAGGACAGTGAGTGCTTGACCTGGAAACCTAAAATGCTTCCTGTCTGGCCGTTAGAGAAACAGTTTGTCAACCCCTAATCCAGCTTTTCTTCTCTTCTTTTTTTAAAAATATTTTATTTATTATTTTTATTTTATGTGTATGAGTGTATTGCTTCCATGTACGTGAGTGCACCCATGCCATGCAATGCTGCAGAGGTCAGAAGAAGGCTTCGGATTCCCCTGGGCAACCAGTATTCTTAACCACTGAGCCATCTCTCCAGCACCTGTGTCATGGAATGTCCATGGAGGTCAGAAGAGGGCATCAGATTCCCTGGAACTGAGTTATGGATGGCTGTTAGCTGCCATATGGGTGCTGGGAATCAAACCTGGGTCCTCTTCAGGAGTAGTCACTGCTCTTAACCGCTGAGCCATCTTTCCAGCCCGTTTTTCTTACATTTAGTGAAATAATACTGCCCTGCCTCCATTCATCAGAGATGTTTTGATGTTTTGAGTTCTTTCTGGTAGATTTCTGTTGAACTCAGACATGCTTATGCTAGTGGCTAGACCAATTTCTCATGGTGCAGTTAGTTGAATGCCCAGAGTGAACAAGTACATCCTGGGGTCTAGTCTATTATAGTAAAAAGAAATGAATATAGTGCTCTCCTGACAATGCAGAGCAACTGAGCAGCCCTTTCCTATTTGCTGACCCGTGCCTAACTGGCTTCCACAGATTGTCTGCCGAAGCTCCTCGCCCATTGAGATGCCTGTGAAGGAGAAGATTTCTATGTTTTGTCATGTGAACCCTGAACAGGTTGGTGCTTGGTGCTCTTTAGATTTTTAAAAATTTATTATTGCCAAGTGTGGTGGTGCGTGCCTTTAATCCCAGTCCTCTAAGATTGAGGCTAGCCTGGTCTACAAACAGAGTTCCATGCCAGCTGGGTCTACAGGAAGACCTTGTCTCAGACCCCTTCCCCTCCAAAAATATTATTATTATTGAGTGTATATGTGTGCATATGAGGGTCAGAGGACAACTTTGTGGAGTCTGTTCTCTCCTTCCACTTTTTTAAAAGAAACATTTATTTTATGTGTATGAGTGTATTGTCTGCATGTGTGTATGTGCACTTGTGTTGTGCAATGCCTGTGGAGGTCAGAAGAGGGCACTGGATCCCTTGGAACTGGAGTTACAGATGGTTGTTAGTGACCATGTGGGTCCTGGGAGTTGAACCCGGGTCCTATGCAAGAGCAGCTAGTGCTCTTAACTGCTGAGCCATCTCTTCGACCCTTCTTCCACTTTTAAATGGGTTCCAGGGATTAAACTCAGGTTGCTGAGCCACAGGGTCTCCTGTAACCTTGAATTACTGATCCTTTTGACCCTACTTCCCATGTACTGAAATTACAGTCATGTGCTACCACAGGTGCAGCTCAGAGTAGTCTTTTTTTTTTTTTTTTTTTTTTTTTTTTAAAAAAAAAATGTAAAAATACAGTGAGTTGCCTCCCCAGGGGGATGTTAGGGTGTTTTTTTTTTTTTTTTTTTTTTTGGTCTTTTTGAGACAGGGTCTCCTTGTAGCCCCAGCTGACCTGGAACTCACTATGTAGACCAGGCTTGCCTAGAACTCTCCTCCCAAGTGCTGGGATTAAAGGTGTGCACCACCACGCCCGGCTTGGGTGGGCTTTTTTAGCTCATTGAAACTTGTAGTAAAAGAACTATGTGGGGCTGGAGAGATGGTTCAGTGGTTAAGAACTACTGGTTGTTCTTGCAGAAGACCGGGGCTCGAATCCCAGCACCCGCATGGCAGATAACAGCTGTCTATAACTCCAGTCCCAGGGGATTAGACAGCCTTTTCTGACCTCTGAGGGCATTGCACGACACGGGTGTACTTACCTACATGCGGGCAATACACGCATACACATAAAATAAAAATAATAAATAAAATTTTAAAGAAAAAAAAGAGAACTATGTGATACCTCTTTGCCATCCTTTCAGCCTCTTTCTTTCCAGGACACTTGATAGGTAGAGAATGGGCGGGAGCGAGCGGCGCAGATGGAGGAGGCACGAGCGGATGGATGAGGCACGGAGGCTCAGATGGAATGCTCAGTGGGACATAGATTTATTTCGCACGGGGCACCTTTCCCTCGGGAAGGGAAAGAGTTCCACGAAGAGACACATGGAAGGGAAGAGAAGGGAAGGGAAGGGGGAAGGGAAGGAAGGGAAGGATGTCAGGGAAGGAAAGATGTCCAGGAAAGAATGTCCACGGGTTGTGAGCTGGGACTTTACATATGGGGGCTTTAGGGTGTGGAATCAGGGAGGGGGAAGCAGGTAGGATTAGGGTGTGGAAGTGTCTTCTTTTCCTCTTAAGATAAGAGGAACTCTGCTTATCTTTGGAGGTCAGAGGAAAGGCAGGCTGCTTCTCAGCAGAGTTTGTAGGTCCCTGTTGGGGAGGGGGAGGGGGCTGCTATTGGAACCCTAACAACACTTAACTGCTTTCATTCATTTCTCTTGTACCTGGTACAGCTTAAGCACATGAGTGTGCTGGCATTCACACAATGCCTTCTGCTGTTCTCAAACGTGGCCAAATTGCCTCAGAAATGACCATGATTCAGGTTCTGGCCCTCTGCTCTGCAGGATTCCCACCTGGGTCTTCTGACATTTGATTTCTCTTTTTCTTTCTGGCTCTTGTTCCCAGTAAGCCTGGCGTTTGGGCAGTGTGACTGGAGCTCAGGAACATGCTGAGGCTGAATAGAAATTCTTTATGTGAACTCTGGGTTCTCTGAAGTCTCAAAGCTGCTATGGGGTGTCTGTGCCTGGGGAGCAGGCTGATGGAGAACCCTCTGCCTGAGACTTGCAAGCCTGAGCTCTGAAAAGGAAGGGACTTGTCAGTGTGTGTGCTGCCAGGCCACTTTATTTGGGTTTAGTTGCTTTGTGTACCCTTCCTCTTGGGAGACAGTGCTTTGCATGTGACTAAGCAAACATGGCCTGGTTTCTAAAATAGAAGGTAAGCCTTTTGCATTGGAGAGCTCTGAGAAGGAAGATGTAGTTCCAACTGTAGTCCCTGTGGAGCCTAACGCCTGTAATACTGATCCAGTCTTTTTTTTTCTTATTAAAAAAATATTTTATGGCCAGGTGTGGTAGCACATGCCTTTAATCCCAGCACTCGGGAGGCAGAGGCAGGCAGATTTCTGTGAGTTCCAGGCCAGCCTGGTCTACATAGAGAGTCCCAGGCCAGCTGGGCTACAGGGAGACCCTGTGTCAGAAAGACCAAAGAAAATTTTATTTATTATTTTAATTTTATGTGTATGAGTGTATTGCCTGCACGTAGGTAGGTGCATCGTGTCATGCAATGCCCACAGAGGTCAGAAGAGGGCGTCAACCTCCTGGAACTGGAGTTATGAACAGTTGTTAGCTGCCATTTGGGTACTGGGAATTGAACCGGGGTCCTCTGCAAGAGCAGCCAGAGTGCTCTTAAGGGCTGAGCCATCTCTCCAGCCCCACCCCCTTCCTTTTTTCTCTTTTGAGACATGGCCTCAAACTCACCATGTAGCCAAGAAGAAAGTTTCTCTCTGGTCTAGAGGATGGATGAATAAACAGTTCCATGATTTTCACTTGTGGAAGTTGCAGCTGACCATAGATTAATTTTTTTTTATTTCTATTTTTATGTGCATGAGTGATTGCCTGCATTTATGCATGTATGAATGTGTACAGTGTGTGTACCTGGTGCCCATGGAGGCAACAAGAAGGGATTGGATCCACTGGAACTGGAGTTACAGATGGTTGTTGATAGGTAGAGAATGGGCGGGGAGCGAGTGGGTGGATGGAGGAAGGCACTGAGGCACAGATGGAATTCTCAGCGGGATACAGATTTATTTCGCATGGGGCACCTTTCCCTTGGGGAAGGGAAAGATGTCGGCGGAGGGAAAGATGTCAGGGAAGGGAAGGGGAAGGGAAGGGGGAAGGGAAAGATGTCAGGGAAAGATGTCCGGGAAGGGAAAGATGTCAGCCCACGGGTTGTGAGCTGGGACTTTATATATGGGGGCTTTAGGGTGTGGAAGGGGAATGTTTGGGGGAGAAATCAGGGAGGGGGAAGCAGGTAGGGAGGTCAGAGGAAAGGCAGGGTGCTTCTCAGCAGAGTTTGTAGGTCCCTGTTGGGGAGGGGGGGGAGCTGCTATTTGGAACCCTAACAGTTGTGAGCTGCCATGTGGGTGCTGGGAACCAAACTGATACTCTGAAAGAGCAGCAAGTGCTTTTAAACACTGAGCCATCTTTCCATTCCCCCCTGTTTTTTTTCCTTTTCTTTCTTTTGTTTGTTTGTTCTTTCTTCCTTTTTTGTTTTTTAGATGAGGGTTTCCTGTTGTAGCTAGGCTGACCTCAAACTTGTGTGATCTTTTTGTTTGAGCCTCCTGGGTGCTGAGATAACAGATGAGTACCACCATGCTTGTATTGATATTTAGTTTTTTTCTAAAAATTTTGAGAAAAGTGGTCATGTAGCCCAGGTTGGCCTGCATTTCACCATGTAGCCAAGACTGGTCTTGAACTCTTGATTCTCACAGCCAAGTGCTGGGATCACTGGCACCTACCATCATGCCTGGCACTTTTGTGTGTGTATGTGTGGTGGTGGGGATGTTAAGCGAGTCTCTACCACTGAGCCCCACCCCCACACCTGAGAGTTAGCTTCGATTAGTAATTGGGATAGAGCTCCATATCAGTGACTTCTTGGTGCTAGAAACTGCCCTGGTACATGCGCATTGAAGCATTGTAGTCTGAGTTGCAAGGCGGCACTGTTCAAAGGGCTGAACAGCTCTTGATAGCTGTGGGGTTGGGAATGCTGAACAGAAAGTTGGCAGAACATTTCTTGGCCTTTAAGATGGGCAGATCCTTAAATGCCTACAGGTAATCTCGTGCATGTTTTTGAGAGGATGCTGAAAGCAATTGGATTAAGTGTAGAAGTCACTCACAGTTGTTACCACTGGCTGCTTAAAGGGATGTTTCTTTTCTAACAGGTGTAATTAATTTCACTGAGGTCAATGCGCACTTGTAAATTTATCCAAAGGAAGGGAACAGGGAACAAATTGGCAGACCGGAGATGAAAGCAACTATAGTAGCAGCAGTAACAATCTTATCCACACCCTTACAAGACAGGGTACACTATCCAGCATCAGTGCCGCAGAGGCAACCCTGCGTGCAGTGCATACAAAATATGTCAGTTCAAATCTTTTTCCAGGCAAGGTGTGACCCACCCCTTTAATTCCAACACTCAGGAGGCAGAAGTAGGCAAATTTCTGTGAGTTCAAGGCAGGCCAACTTGGTCTATATAACAAGTTCCAGGCCAGCCAGGGGTACACAGTGAGACCTTGCCTCAAAATTAAAAAAAAAAAAATTGTTTTCGGGGGAGATAGGGTGTCTTGTAGTCCAGGCTAGTCTCCAAACTTCCTACATAGTAGAAGATAAAGCTCCTGATCTTCCTGCTTCCACGTCCTTGAAATGATGAGATTCAGGCATGTACTACCATGCCTGGCTTTTTTTGTTTGTTTGTTTTAACTTTTGAGATAGGGTCTCACTGTATAGCCCTGGCTGGCTTGGAATTTACTGTCACAGAGATCTGCCTACCACTGTGTCTGGAGTGCTGGGATTAAAGGTGTGTACTACTACTCCTGGCTTTCTTATGCTTTTTATTAAAAAAGACACTTTTTTCTTTTTTCAAAAAAAAAAATTTATGTGTATTAGTGTTTTGCATGCATGCATGTATGTAAGTGCATACAATGTCCATGGAGGCCAGAAGACCTCATCAGATCCTAGGAACTGGAGTTACTGATAGTTGTACACCACCATGTGGGTGCTGGGAACCAAACTCAGGTCCTCTATAAGAGCAGCCAGTGCTCTTAACCCTGGGCCATCTCTTCAGTCCCCCTTCCCCTTTTCTTTTTTCTTTGTCTTTTCTTTTGTGACAGGATCTCCTGTAGTCCAGGCTAACCTTGAACTTGCTGTATAGCTAAGGATGACCTTGAACTTCTGATCCTCCAGATGCTGCCTCCTGAATATCACGTGTGTGTGTGCCACCATGCTTCATTTTATGTGGTGCCGGCAATTGAACCCAGGTCCTCATGCATGGTGCCAAGCACTCTGCCAACTGAGTACATCCCTAGCTGCCTTAGTCTCCTTTCTGTTCCTACAATAAAATACTCCAAGATAAACAACTTAGGGGAGAAGGGTTTATTTTAGCTTCCAATTCCCAGGAGGTCAAGACAAGAGGAACTGAAATAGCTAGTCACATCACATCCTCATTTAAGAGCAGAGAAAAATGCATGCCTGCCTACTGCTCAGCTCACTATCTCTTATACAGTCCAGGACCCAAACCCACGGAATGGTCACTCACTTTTAGGCTGGGTCTTCCCATATCAATTAACATAATTAACAAAATTCCCTACAGACTTGCCCACAAGCAAATCTAATCTAGACAATTCCTAATTGAGACTCTTCCAAAGTGACTCTAGATTGTGTCAAGTTGACAGAATTAATCATGACATCAGCCACCTCCCTCTTCACTTCCTCCTTTCCCTCCCTCCCTCTCCCTCCCTCCCTCCCTCTCAGTTGAGGCTGGCCTAGAACTCATGATCCTTCTGCCTCAGTCTCCTGGGAAGCTGAGATGACAGGCATGTGCCCCCACACCTTGGCTTTTTTTTTTTACTTTTCAATTTTTATTCTTTATGTATATGAGTGTATTGCCTGCGTGTCTGTAAGTGCACCTGTGTTGTGCAATGCCCACAGAAGTCAGAAGAGGGCATTGGATTCCCCTGGAACTGGAGTTACAGACAGTTGTTAGCCACCATGTAGGTGGTGGGATTCAAACCCTAGTTCTCTACAAGAGCAGCCAGTGCTCTTAATTGCTGAGCCATCTCTCCAGCCCCTTTCTTGGCTTTCTTTTTGCAGTATAAATTGTGTCTGATTTCTGCCTCATTCCAGAGGCCTATTAAGAAAGATGTTTTATTCTCATTGATCAGGTCATCTGTATCCATGATGTTTCTTCCACCTACCGAGTGCCTGTCCTTTTGGAGGAGCAAGGCATTGTTCAATATTTAAAGGAGAGGTTGGGCTTACCCATCAGTGATTCTTCGAGTAATTTGCTTTTCAAGTGGAAAAATATGGCTGACAGGTATGTGAATGGAATTCCTTATGTAATCCTTAAAAAAAAAGAAAACCACAGATATGACTTCTTAAAATATTTTCTCCTAATTCTTTTAAGACTTTTCTCAGTAATTATAAATGCATAGAAAAATAGGATGTGGAGTTACAGACAGGCATGCTATGGCATCTGGCTTTATGTGGTTTTGCTGATTCAAACTCAGGTCCACATGCTTGTGTGGCAAGTGCTTTACTGACTGAGCCCAGCCTCCTTAGGTAATCTTTAATAATTCCTGGATTTCGAGGTGGAGCTACCTAAAGACCTACTTTAAAGGCTCAGTATGTCCTGTTTAGCATTTTGGTGTGAATATATCTAAAGCTGTAACATGGCATGAGAGTATTTCTCTTTATTTTTGAAGATTTCTGGAGCCTTTCACTTTGCTGTACTTAAACCCAAGTGAATCAAAGGATTTTGGATTCTCAAAGAA